TATATATATATATATATGTATACACATATATAAAAATATGTATTGTAATGTTAAAAATAAAAACTGAGAATTGACTTGAACAGGTAAGATTTTATTTTCTTTTCCATCCTAACTATATACAATGCAATTAATTTTAATAACAACATCCCTTAAATTAACGCTTATTACGATAACTATATACCGTTCATACTTTTGAGCACTTTTTATAGAAATGTTGGACTCTTGATTTGTCTTCATATCAAGTAATCAGTTATTAAACAGCTACAGAACATAAATAAAAAATCGGAATCAGTTTGGGATATCCTCTCAAACAATAATTACTAACAAATCAAAAATGAATCGTTATCACATTATACATACCATTAAACATGGTTCTGGATTCTTCTGTTTAACAACCGATTGATTGGCTTCAGCAACTGCTCTGAGTAATAACGATTGCGTCGCACGTTTCTGAAGAGGTTGCAATGGCTTCAAAGGTCTTGGCGTCACAATAACTTTACTGGGAAGCTTAGATTCTTCAATCTCTTCATCGTCCACATTATTAGATATTTTTTTATTAACTTTGTCTATAGCTTTAATTCGTTTTTTTTCAGTCTTTGGCGGTATGGATTTTTTTACAGCTATTATATGAGATTTAAGAGGACCCGAATTTACTTCTTCATCCACTTCGTCATTTAATTCTTCTTCAATACCAACTTCTGGTGGATCCTCATCTTTGCTAACATTGGAAGATTGAACAAATGGATTCAAATAATTTTTAGAATTCACTGGTTTGAAATTATTTTTTAATGGTCCTAATCTAGTTTTAATATTCTTGTTGCTTATTAAAGTATTACGATCTTGTTCCAAGCATTTGTTAGTCTTATATTCTACTGTATCTAGCGTTGATTTCAGTTGAAGTCTATGAGCGTTGCCTATTCCTAGCCGATCTTTTATACTACCCGCCAATTTGTCAGGTAAAATCTTAGATTTGAAATTAGGATTACCTTTATCTTTGATATCAATCAGTTTATTAGATCGATCATTTCTAATGGTACCCAATCGACTTTTAATATCATTTGCTCTATCAACTTCTTGTTGTCTTATTTCTATCTCCCTGTTTCTCTTTGCACGTTCCTCCAGTTCAAAATTTCTATTACGTTGTGAATTAATATTATTAAATCGTTTCTTATCGAATCTTTTTTCTAATTGTTTGTGTCTTGCTTCATTATCAGCCTTCTGTCTATAAATTTCAAATTTTTTTCTTGGTGAAGCAACACCAAGACGATTCTTGACAGAAACAACAAATGATTTCAGTTTTTTAACATTATCTTCTGGAGAAGTGTCATTCTCTTCTAAAGATTTGGATAATTTCCCATCGTTATCCTTTTTCTCCAAAGATTCATTATGTTCATTTCCAGACTCTAAAGGTCTCTTTAAAATTCTTGTTGAAGTATTAGGTGTCTTAGTATTTTTATTAACTTCAGTGCTAGATTTTGTAACTTCTAATGAAGTGTTATCTTTTGTAACAATATTTTCTTGTATCTGATTATTTATAGGTGTTGAAACGTTACTAGATTTATTTTCATTATGTACAAGTTTAGGACATTTATCTGTACTTTTAACATTATCATTGTTACTCTGATTCAACAAAGTTATCTTGGTGACCGGTTTATGCAAACTTTTGTCATCTTTAATATTTTTTACAGTAGGTTTTTCGGTTCCGCTTTGGTCAGTTGTATGATCTTCCAAAAAAGATGTCGTAGATGTTTTCCTTTTTTTTCTTTCCTCTTCTTGTTTAACAACAACAGTAGGTACAAATTCTTTTGATGATTTCTTCTTAGCAACTGTTACTTTTTGAAGTTTCTTTAAAACTTGATCGTGCAACCAATCTACAAATGGAGTTGTACTGTCTTCTAAGAATAAATTTAAGTCTTCGTGCATTTGTTGACGTGACTTTTTATTCACTACCATTACTAAAATGTAATCTGGTAATTCCTCATCGTAGCGTACTCCTAACTCTAATAACTTAGCACGTATAGCACTCTAAAAGAAAATTATAACCAAAAATTATTATTATTATTATTAAATGTAAATAAATATAATCATTTAAATAAGAATATTATTCTAATTTTTACTTACTCTAAGTTGATTTGTCACTTCTATTCCTCGTATATCCATTATGTGTATTAATTAAATCAATAACACTTGAAATAAGACATAAGACTTTAAACTTTGACTTATATTAAAATAGCACTGAAATTATCATGAATTTATTTATGGAATAAAAATATTCTTTGCAATGTATGAGACAATTTCTTCGAGACTTTCTCCACGACAAAACCCCATTATAATTGGAATATTAACTAAAGTAGGTATCGCTGCATTGAACATAGAACTTTTTTTAAAACGTTAAAGTCACTATGTCGTACTATATTCATTTTGACAATAACACCTGAGATTTCGTTATAAAAGAAAATATTGATCGATCAATGGAAATATCAAAACAAAAAGAGATATTGTTAAATACGAATCACCACAATTCTATAAATTAATATCCTAAATCTATCAAATTTAGGTTACTGTTTCCAATAATTTACCATACGTACGTACATATCTAGGATTATTTGTTTGGTTATGTGTATATACTGCTTGCATACTTTAACTTACATTTGGCGCGAAAATTTAAATCTAAAATTACTTATCCTTATAATATCGGATTTTTATGAAATAATGAATAATATTTTAATTTATTATTAATTTTCTTGTAACCTATAGTTTATGATATATCATTTTTTAATGTAAATTTTAATAGTAAGCATTAATTAATTTTATAAATGTTTTATAAACATTTCAGTTTCAAAATGGCGCAAAGAAAAAGATAATAATCTTTATTGTGATACGCATTATTAATAATATTAATAATGTTAAACGTAACTTTAAACGTAAATGTGACAAATAAATATTAAAAATAAATCATTAAAAATTATTGAAAAGCAATTAGAAATAAGAATATTTTTCTTTCAAATAATTCAAGAGTTGGTAACACATTCTACATTGTTACTTGCATAATAATTATTATCAAAGTCTTCTTAATACATACATTTTCAGATAAGTAAAAATTTATTATTAAAAAATAATTAATAAATGATATTTAATAATATTAATAATATTAAATATTATTTAATATTAACCTTAATATATACCATATAATATTAACAATACTGAGAAAAAAAAAGATTTAATAAAACTGATTAATGTAGAAGATTTCATAGATTTATTCTTCCATCATCATCTATTTTTATCTGATATTCTTGCATGCAACAATGTGTTCTTAATTGCGTACTTTTTTTCATATTTTACATGTTACATGATCGTTCGGTAAAACTCGTATAAGTCCGTATAATTTCGTAATTTAACTCGTTACTAGCCGGTACATGTATATATTATATCTGATTAAGTTCCATTTGTTTGCTCACTTATTATTCTATCTTCCATAAGTTTGAAATAAAATCATTTTATATTTTGTTTTGTTTTTCAAAGGATCGATAGAATTTCAATAGTGTGCGTGTAAAAATTTATAAACGTGTTAAACGTCACGAAAATGCTTATTCTCAATACAAGTAATAACTAAAAACTAATAAAAACAAAAGTACACACACAAAAAGAAATAATAATAACTACCTACTCATCCTCCAATCATTATTTTCAATTACATCACAACGTTGATCATTTTTTTTGCATTTGTATTTGTATATAACATAAGTAGCACTCACTCAGTAACAGAGCTAGACAAATCATCTAACATCCGGTTTGCCAATTACATTTTGTTTCATACCATTAAAAATAAGAGTCCAGGTTAGCAGTGATTTAACGTAGTAGCAGCTGTTAGCAACAAATCAACAACGCTTGATTTTGTTTATTTAATTGTAGAAACATTTGCTTGTTAATAGTCAAAGTGACAAGAGTTAATCATTTTGAAGATATTATCTATTTCTTTTTATAGTTACTTCCATCGTTAAAAAGCCAATACTTAATACAGCAACTCGTTTAATGTCTTCCATGGCTGGGGAATTGCAAAAACATGGGGTTGTTCCCGACGTCATTGATAAGGCTCCATCCACCTTACTAGATGTATCCTATCCCAATAATCTTGTTGTTGAAGTTGGTAAAGTTTTAACTCCTACTCAAGTTAAGGATCAACCTACGGTTAAATGGGCTGCGGATGCTAACACTTTTTATACTCTTTGTATGACTGGTAAGTTGATTTTATTTATATTTATCAAATAAAGTAATTAATTCAATACTATAGGAAAAAATTGATGTTATACACATCTCGTTTTTCTTTTTTTTTTTGTAGATCCTGATGCACCAAGTAGAAAAGATCCTAAATTCCGTGAATGGCATCATTGGTTAGTTGGTAATATACCTGGCAATGACATCAGTAAAGGTGAAACTCTCTCAGAGTATGTCGGCTCTGGTCCCCCAGAAGGAACCAGCCTTCATCGTTATGTTTTCCTTCTTTATAAACAACCTAAGAAGTTAACTTTTGATGAGAAGCGTTTAACTAACAGAAGTGCAGATGACCGTGGTCTATTTTCTATTAGGAAGTTTGCAAAGAAGTATAACCTTGGTGATCCCATTGCTGGAAACATGTACCAAGCTGAATATGATGATTATGTACCTATTTTGTACAAGCAACTCGGTGCTTAAAGAATTTTGCTTCCAATAATATTATTTAGTTATTCTACAATAATCAATTACTGTAGAACATGATAAAAAGAGAATATTCATATAATTTGTTGTAGGGGTTATATAAAAATAATATTGTATTAATGATTTTTAATAAAGTTCTGATATATAGATAAGTTTGTTTGTTATTTTCTCTTACTTTTTATCTTATTCTTATACAATAAATATGTATACAGATTTTACTACGTATTTTGCGTATATTTTTTCTTATCTAATCTATAAGTCATTTGTTTAAGAAACAAAAACGATAAATTATTTATCTATAGTAATTTAAAGATACTTTTATTGTCCTTGGTAGGAAGAGAATCTTGGTGGGGATGACTTCAAATAAGACATTCATTTTCTATGGTAACATACTTACATCGTTGCAGTCGTTCGTATCGCAACAAGGATGAAGATGTTTAAATCTTTAGGTATGTTTTATTATTATTTTTTATTTTACTGAATTTTTAATTTTTTTAAATTGTATAGAAAATATAACACAAACATAAATGATCTTTATAAGGAAAAAAAATACATGATAAGATATTAACATATAGGATTATATAAGAATTGTTTAAAATTATTGTACATTAAAAAAAATAACAATTATTTTTAGGAATTTTTCTTAGCTTAACAACTTTCGTGTTCGCGGACGTTGCATCGGAATTTAAAACGGCAAATATTCAACCTGATATATTGCAAAGCGTTCCCACCGAGAAAATTGAGGTATATTTCGTACAATATCAATTATTATTAATCTACTTAAATTAATTCATAAAGTATAATTAATTAACAAAAAGATCTGTTGACGTACTAGCTCAAAAAAAGAATATATATCAAGTATCATACAATTTCTATAACGAGTTTCTAAAATGCAGGTCAAGTATGGTAAAAACGTAGTTGATCTGGGAACCGAATTGACGCCTACTCAAACACAAGAGATTCCTGAAATTCATTATAAACATGATGGAGGTGTCCTTTATACGCTTATTATGACAGGTATATATATTTATATATTTTTAAACAATCCCATAATTAATAAGAATTTTGCAAAAATATTAATATCTTAAAATATTTTGTTAAAATTCTTAGAAATATGAAATACTCGGAGAACATTTTATTTTCAATAATTTTATATATAAATATATACATAAATTAGTGTGCTATAAAAAAATAAATAATAATAATAATTTTTAGATAAAAAAAATATTAGTTTTAATTTATTAAAGTAATCTTTTTTTAAATTTTAAACCTAATCTTTAATTGTTTTCCGATATACTTAAGTATTAAGTTATAAGGATTGAAATCTGTTTACCGTTCTTTTTTCTGTTTCTTCTTTCGAAGAAGTACGAAAGGAGTGACACGACACCTAAATGACCTTAGATCATTGAAGAGACAAACCACTTTCACCAGCTTCGAAACCTGTTTGCACGCTCGACTTCGCTTCGTTACTTTTGATCTATTGAAATGCGCAAATGAGAAAATGTTAAATGTCATCACCTTTCCATTCGGGAATCATCCGTTTAAATTTGATTAGAAAACAATTAGATGTTTTACATGAGATCCCATATTCTTTTATGGGAATATTATACAGAATAATGTTATTGGTATAACAATAATGAATCTGTGATTTGTGACTTATTTTATGAATTGCAAAAGAAGTTTAGGTGATTCCTGCATTTGGATAAAATTTAACTAAAGTTTGGTAAATTGATTTAAAAAAATAAGATCTCAAATTAAATACAGAACATTTCTTGTTTAATTTCAATCCACTATCAAAAAATGTTCACTATCACAGTATTAGTATTTCAGTAAATTGTATCATGTTTGTAAAACGAGTACATTGAACTATGTTTTATATAATCTGCGATACTTTCTTTCAGTATAAAACTAACTACAACTACGTAATTGTAAAATAACTTCCAATTAATATTTCTTTTCCTTTTGTTTCATAGATCCTGATATTCCAACAAGAGGCTACAATCGAGAATTCCGTCATTGGATAGTTGGAAACATACCTGAAGAAAATGTTGCTAAAGGTGAAATTATTGCTGAATATGTAGGACCAGCTCCACCCAAAAATACTGGAAAGCATCGTTACGTTTTTCTTCTCTATAAACAAAATCAAGGAGCTATTACCTTTGACGAGAGAAGATTGAGTAATCGGTGTGTATAATTAATTATTATTACGTTTAACATTTCTATTTATTTGGTCAGTATTTTTTGATTAATTAACGGTATTTTGCAAAATAAATAAATCAGTATATGTATATGAATATTATGTTCAATATTAAATAATAATTTTTATTAGTATTTCAAATAAATGATTAGTAATTTATAAATAATGTTAGGGTTGCGTCAGTTTATAATTTATTATAATTACTGATCATTCATTTAAAATATTAACTAAAAATATTTTTTGAAAAATATTGACCCAATAAATGAGTCATTCATTAACCAAATTAATTAACTTCACAGACTAAAAAGTACAACAAATATAATAAAATTACATACATTGTCCTATAATTTATTAACATAAAAATTAAATAACAATCCAATTGTTTGCTTTTAAAATTGAAAAGAACATTTTAAACGTGGAATTATTTGTTGTCCATTGAACAACACAAATAATATGCATTCTTTAATCATATTTCCAATTCCATGCTCTGTGATTCATATTAAATATTATCTGATATAAATTATAGGGATGGCAGATTCCGTAGTCGATTTTCAACGAAGAAGTTCGTGGAAAAATATAGTTTGGAGGGACCAATAGCAGGGAACTTCATGAAAGTTGAATACGACGATAACGTACCTTCTTATCATAAGCGTTTAGGATTATAAAGTTTGCATATTTTATACTGTGAGTTATCTCATTATTTCATCTTCTATTGTCTTCTCTTTTTACTTATATTAAAAGTATAATAATAATAATAACAATAATAATAATAATAATAATAATAATAATAATAATAATAATAATAATAATAATAATAATAATAATAATAATTGAAATTAGAACGTCAGTTCTTCGATGTACGTATATTTCTTTCATATTATATTTACCTTAACTTATTTTATTTTTTTGTTTATTTTTCTTTTCTTCTTTTTATTAATCCGCTTTTATTTTTATCTCATTTTATCGTTATAAATATAAAATGTACAGGGTATTACAATCCTATTTCTCTCTCTCTTTTTGTTTTCTTCTTTGAGATGAGTTACATTTTTTAAAGATGTCTTGAGCATCCCTTTCTCTATAGTAATAAATTCTTAGTCTAATCGTTTACCTCCTACAAAATTGATTATTTTCATATAATTAGTATTTTTTTCTTTTTTTTTTTATCAATAGGTTATTACATAATGACTAGTAGTTGTTAGATAATATTTCATTCGATTAACATTTCTCAATTATTTTAATTTTAATTATATTTAAATCAATAATAATCATATCGCATTATTCTATTTATTAATATCAAGTTTTTGTTCAAAATAATATTTAAAATTTTCAAAATTATTGAATTATTAAAATATGAAAAATTAAATTACTCTGATTATTTTCAATTTAAAATTGGATATTTAATATTAATTAATTTTTAAATGATTATATATTATTAAATAACTATCAATGTGTGTTGCAGAACATTGCAATGAATTTAATAAATTTCTAAATGATAAAAATATACAAAAAAATAATATTAACCCCTTAAGGAACAATTTTGGCTCAACGTGATACAACGCCGATTAAGTTAAAACTCGAGCGTGCAACTTAAGGGGTTAATTTTGCTAATTTCTTTCGAGTATTTCGATAATGAATTGAATCATACTACATAGAATATAAAAATAAATAAATATATAAATGTGGTTATAAATAAAAATAAAAATGATTGATTATTAATGGAATGAAATATCGTCCAACGTTTATTGTGACTAGAGTTACAACGTATGTGCGCATTTCGGGGCAAATTTCGGCCTATGTATGACTTTCGGAAACTCGAAATCCTTTGAAAAAAGTCTCTTTGCTGGCCCGACTATACTCTTCGATGCAAAATTTGTTAAACAATGATTATTATTATTTATCATCATCCTCTTCTTCATCTTTCTCTTACTCCATGCCAAAGGACACAAAAAACACATTTCTTGTTACAAACTTTCACTTCGTCTTGAAAGTTGTGTATCATCGAAAAATAGGAACGTATTACATGGTGTTGAGATACGTTAAACAACGATTATTTTCTTTTTTTTTATATAAGTCACTAATATAACAATTAATTGTTTATATAACTATTAATAACAAATGTCACAGTATTGAAAAATCACGATTTTTAATTGGGAAAGAATCGATAAAATCGTACGGGGGTGGAATTCATCATCATCGTCATCTTCAATAGTTAAACATTGTTTTATATTAATTATTTTTGTTAACGATTCTCTCGCAGTGATGTCAACGTCGTGTTTTTTAAATTAGGAAGGATTTATTAACACTCAACAATTTATCTAAACGTAATAAGAGGAAACTTAATTCTCATGTGAGCAGTAGTAATCACGTTTTAGTGATATCCGTCATTTTGTTTTTGTTTTAACGAAATATATAGACAGCTTTTTTTAGCTCTCGAATACACACACTCACACACATATATAAATATGTTTACATATATATTATATATATGTATACTATAAATTCGTTATTCCCATTTGCAGATATACACTATGGTGACGTACATTCATACAAATCTCGAGAGACGTATTTTGTTGGTTTGTTTTTTCTTTCTCATTCCAGAGATCACGATTTGAAAGACACATATTTAAAATAACAAGCTCGATACTTAACAAAAATCGAGTTCGTACCGTAGAAATAGAGTCTTTTCTTGGACCAACATGTTCACTGATCCGATTTATGAAATGATGTGGAAACGATTCCTGTGTATCGATGACAAGTGTTGGAATATGTGAACAATCAATTGGTAAGTACAGCTGGCATCTAAATTTCTTTTCTTTTTTTTTATTTAAGTAGTATGTAATAGTACGTTGTCTTTTATGATTATGAACACCCTACTTGGAATGTTCTTTATGTTTCTTTATTTATTTGGTTTTTGATGAAATATTTTAAGGCAGGACAAAGTCCGGGTACATCGTGATATTCCAACAGAGCTGATGATCCCTAACATCACCCCATCCACCGTTACCTTTCCTCAATTTAGTCTTCTTTGCCATACCAGCAACCGTTAAGGTTAATTGCGATGGGAATAGATGATCCCTAGCAGCTCTCAATACATTTTGAACTTTTGCTATAACTGCCGTTGACTCGCAATTATTCTTCTTGTGATGAACACCGCTGAAACATTGTTTATCTATTTATTATAGAAATCATAAAATGTTTATTAAGATCAAAATTTAGAATATTTTTCATTATATTTATAACCACTTTTGTGTGTGTGTGTGTGTGTGTGTGTGTGTGTGGTCTTACAATTAGTTTTTGAAATGTACAGGTAAATATGTTTAATAATGTATTTAATTTTTAATATTAGTTATTTTTATTGATTTAAATTAGGATTGTAGCAATTTATTTATATCTATTTATATTTTGTTGTTTACAATTGAATGCAGACAATAATCTCAATTTAAATATTGGGTTAATAAATAATATGTTTTCCCTCCACTGAGAATATTGATCTTGACAATATTATTCACAGATCACTTAATAAAAATTCTTCAAGTGAATCCTATATTGGATAATTGCAAAAAAAAAAATGAAAATAATTCGGATATTGATTTTACCATTCACCAATGTGGAAGACTCTGGGAGCTCTCATCATCATAGTAATCAGGCCGGAATCAATGCGTGGAGCAGCACCAGCTCCTCTGCTCGGTGGTAGACAAGTTTGAGCGATGTGCTGAAGACTCCAATCCCAATTGTAATCGTCGTACGAGCAGAATTGAGCGGCACACTTTCTTAGTTTATTCCACGTGACCCGATTAAAGGCCATGCCCATATTGTGTTTACTCGATATCCAGGGTATTACCTCAGCCTAGGTTGTCAAGAAGAATGATCGATGTTAGAATCTATGATTCGGCAAGATTTCATTTAAAGAAAGTACGTGGAAAAAGAACGATAACGATCGATTTTATTATTTTCTTTGTTTATTATCTTTATCGATTAGAAATATACGTTCCTTTTCGTACGTCCATCAAGAAACTGTACTAAATTTAATACGATCAATATTTGAGCTGTTAGTTAACAGGCCAAAGTGATTAATACCAATTTTGTGTGTGTCTGCACTTCAGTTATCATCAAACATTTGATTTATAATAATTAAGCTAAATTTCTTTATACTTTACGATATCTGGAACACGTAATTTGGTATCAATTCCATTAAAATACTAATAATGTAAATATTTAGTTGAAAATTTTATATGAATCAAGTTTCGTATTACTCATTAATTAAGAAATTAATATCAATAATCAGAAAAATTAAATAATAAATGGTTTGATAGTATATATTATGACATTATCAATATTATTAACTTTATGGAATTAATCGATGTGGCCTATGGAAAGCTCATTTATTGATTATTAGCACTATATAGAGATCATTATCAATAATTAAACTTGTATACACTCTTTTCCGTACGACACAATCTACGGTAAACCGTATATGTCGTTGACAAGACTTGCTTTATCGTTACACTTAGCTAGTAGAAAAAAAAACCAAACGATTGAAAAAAAAAGAAATATAGTGCCCCAAACGATGAATAAAAAAGGGGGATGAGGAACGCTTGTGCATAAAGTAAAGAATAGCAAGAAAGAAAAAGGAAAACAATAAACAAAGGTGGGGTTCTTCGGTTGTACATTTCGTTCAAGCGAATATCGATTGACAAACGAAAAACATTTCTAGTGTCGTTTGAATAATGAGATGTTTTTTCAGGAAAAAAATAAATAAAATAGCGTTACCTACATGATGACTAAAATAAAAGCAAGAAATGTTACATCGAACGAGACAACTCTATACGTAACAAAAATAACAATTTCAGTTCTTGGAAAATGATCATGGTTCTTATTCGATGTGCCATTCTGAGTATATGCAGATCAAATACAATACTTTCTATGTAAAAAGATGGATGAAGGTTACGTTATACCAGCTGATCCGATTAGTTGGATTAAAATGATAATAATTAATATATACCCTAGAGAATAATTGCGGATTATAAAAGCGTGCAAAAAAGATTAATTGAGAATAATACAGAAGAATAATAATAAGAAGAAGTGCCAGGTGACACAGAAGCAAGATCAAAAATGCGAATTTAGATTCGCAAAGGATGATATTCTCAAGATAATTATCAGAAAAATAGGATTGGGATTATAGGAGGATTGTAATGTCTCTAATCAATTCTCTAATATTTCGTTTTTGTGTGTGTTTTTGCATCTGGGTCTGAAAACCTTCTGATAGTGGGTGTAGAGACTTGGTAAGAGCTGGAAAGCCCAAGAAGGTGCAGCATGCACCATTTGGGAACTCTGATAGGTCGACACTCCAGCAATAGTTTGTCCTCCAACGACGTTGCCAACAGCAACGTTGTTATTGTTGTTGCTGATGCTGCTACTGCTGCTGCTGCTACTGCTGCTGCTGCCGATGTTGCTGGTGATACTGCTACTGATGAGAGCATTCTGTAGTCCCGGTGACTCGTGCTTCTTTAATCCATGTAGTAGTTCCTTTTGTAAGGCGCCGTTTACGCCAAGGAACTAACGGATCGGGCGTGCGTGAAACATCGACACAGATACCTTTCACAATGAAGTGAAAAAGAAAGAGGAACAGGGGAAAATTTTGAAAGAATTTGGAGAGAAACACTTCAACAATTTTGGAAAACGAAGACGAGATTGTTGTTTTTTTTTAAAAAGGATGAATTTCTTTCTGTGCTATAGTGACGGTGTTGTCAACATTTCGAGCAAGATTGCAACGTCTCATTTGTTCGCATACTTGCTCGTTTATTGCGTGATGAAAGATTTACAACGATACTTGTTATATAATTGTTCTGTTTTTTTCTGTTTAAGTTAATAACAGTACAGATTAAATTTAAATATCGATGATAACAAGTATCGTATTACATGTGTAAAGTGAATTTACAATGTCGTAAAAAGATAAACTAAAGACACGATAGTTCAGCGATGATGTGAAAATGTGTTATGATCCAATGAAATTCCTGTAAATGAAATAACCAAAATTCCAAGCGTTTGTTTTGTTTTGATTTGTTTAGAGCTTATGTACAGAAATTAGGCGCAAATTTTTTTCTGTTTTAATTTTCTTTCTTCTGATATAGAAGATTCCAATTATAAAATGCAATTTTAAAAGATAATACATAAAAACGTAATATTTGTTAAAAGAGTGTAAAGTGTATCATAATAAAGCATAGTGTAAATCCAGCGTGTAAATCGGCTAGTGCCCACTCCTCGCAATAGATGTTATAGAAAGACTTACATTGTTTCAATTGATTTCAATTTAGTTAGATTTATTATTAGAATTCTTACTCACTTTACGACTGAAGTCAGCGAAATAGTTGTAGGTCTTGAGGTATGTACCCAAGGAAAGAACGTTGCAACGTTCGCAGCTGTGTTTGCAGGTGCGTTCCATCAGTCTCAAGACATGAAGAAAGTCTTCAGCTACGTAATGATCTTCCTCAAGGAATAGGACCATACCCGTATGATTTTTCGTTATTGTTAATTGATCGAAGACCTTGTTGGCTTTCCACCACCAATGATGCTTCGTTTGTGTAAACTTTGCCTCCCGATAATGACCATAAAGATCTGGATGCTTCGCGTTGATACATTTTAAATACAAAGCTCTGTAAAATAATATGAACAAAATTAATAAGAATATATAACAACGTTTAAATTTGTTTATGTTTGTATGAGTAAAAATTTTAGGGGATTCGAGTCAGAATTCTGAAAATTCGAGAACACAAAAACATATTTGGGATTGTTTACATAAAAATTAGACTATAAAATTATGATTGAAAAGTTTAAGTATAAGATTAAAAAGGAAAAATAAGAGTTTCAATCTCCAACCATTTGATCCTAAAATATCAGTTGAATTTTTAAATATCAGGTAGTCCAAAATAGTTTTTGTTTCTGTAAACCTTTTAGACCCTGACTCGACCTATCCCAATTGTAAAAAGAACCCTGCTGTGCTTTGAGGCTCAGGTATCTATAGACTTCTAATGTTGTTTTAGGAACCAATGATATTGAATACTTGAAGATACAAGACTGAAAGACGTGCCTTGCGGTTGGAAACCTTTTTTATCTTTTGTGTTAGCTAAAATAGCTTTTAGGAGACCTTTATCTCCATTTTCTTTTGTAACCTACACATTCCTACAGTTACTTTAGTGGTCTCGTGTTCGGTTTACAATTAGAATTAAAAAGTATCTTGTGAAAAGAATTTGAAATTGAAATATTTTCTTACTGTTCTTTGTGAATGTTTCTCGGACAATCGTTCGGATCTTCCCCGGGAAATGTTCTAGGATGCGTTTGTATGCTATGTGGATAAAATATTTGCATGACACGACAAAAGTCAACGCTCTGAACTAAGTAATTGATGTCCGGATTCCACACGTCATGACTAAAAACAAGAAGAGCCTGTTCTATGCCCCTGGCTTGTGCCAGAGAGACGATCAGGTGCCTCAAGTAGGTCAGCCTAACGTGAACTTGGACGACGATGATCGGTGCATCAGCGGCAAGTGGACCAAACGCTTCCTCATTGTAAACCTTTTGCTCGAAGTTTATCCGATCGATGTTACGACGAATCTCCTCGATTTCAAGATCCGTTAGCGTGCCAGAAGTTCCATTGCTTGACGTCGAAGACGCATTACGCCGTTCTTTCAGGAACCTTCATTAATCATCATAAGAAAAGGATGAAAAAAAATATTATAACTTATGGAAGTTAATTTGCAGATCTAACTGTTTTCTCCCGTTATTATTATTATTTTTTCTTAATGGATTAAGTTTAGCCAATTAATAATTTTGAAATGTTTTATTAAAAAAAAAAAAAAAA